TTCTTTTCTTGTTCTAACCTTGGAATTCCAAGGCTTGGCAAGAAAACGAAGACCTTAAAATTGCTGATGGAAGAAATCTCAGCAGGTTCAGGAGGAAAAAAACTCTCCCTTCCTCTCCTAAAGCTACAGGAAAGCTGAATTTATGCTGTGTCATTCAAACAGCCCTTGCAAATATTTGCTCTAACAAGGGTGTCTTGTAAGATACCTAGATGTCAGATTATTGCTATGTGGTAAAGCCTCTTTATTTGATTGGTCCTTATAATTTGTTGCACTTAGAATATCTTAATTAACACCTGTTTTCTACAAGGTGTTAATTACTTGTGGTTTGGGTACATCCTGGTTGGCTCACAGGAATGGGTGTAAAGAACAACAGACAACCAGTGGCTCAGGGGCTACGTTCTCCAGTAGCAAAAAGTCGTGTTACTGAAATTCACCAGTTATTCACGACAGCCACAGAAGTACTTTCAAACATGTGCATGAATTCAGCCTTTTCACTCATTTAAACGAGCTCACCTGTTTCAAAAGTGGTAGTTTTGCTAAAGAGTAGAATTTTCAGATGCTTCCATTGATCAAATGTTTCCCAGTCTCTGCAGGAAAAGGAGCTGGGAAGCAGGAAAGCCCCCCAATCTCCATTGGAAAAGGAACCCTTCCATATTAAGATATGAAAGCAGCTTTAATATTTTATGACTCCCCGTGCAGCCAGGAGACAGGCCCCTGTAACAGGAGGCTCATGGGTCAGGTTTCACGGCCGCCGAGTATTTCTTTGCCTTTTTTTTTTCCGGGCCAGTCAACCAGCTGCAGCAGCCCCAGGATCCTCCGAATGAAATCAGTGCCTGATGGAAGGGTTTCTTCTGGAAAATCCCAGAAGCTGAAACCGCAGGGGGATGGGATTACGGCTTCAGGGGGGAACCCGGTGCAGACTCCCAGTGCCTGCCTCCTGGAGTGGCCTGAGGATGACTTGAGTTAGGGTCGGCCACGGGCTGGGCTGGGGCGGCTCAATGCAAGTGTCTGAGAAGAATAGAAGCGAGGACTGCTGCTCTGCTGGGAGTCGGGGCATCGGGTCTCCTCAGCTCAGGTATGTTCGCCTCGTGTATGTGTGTGTGTGTGTGTGTGTGTGTGTGTGTCTGTGTGTGTGTAGGGGTGGGTGTGGGCGGTCTGGTTCCCCTCCCCTCCTGGCTGCCTGCACTGGACTCCATTAGAGGAACACCATGGCCTGTCCCTGTCCTCTGCTCGTCCCTCCTCAGGGGCCACTGGGAGAGCTGCCACGCACAGCTCAGGCTTGTTTTATTATTTTTTACTCCAATATTAGTTTTATTATAGTTTAAAAAACAAAAATTTCTACCTATGAGATTCCACGCCCCCCCCCCCCCTTAACACTTGCCATTGTATTACATTCAATATTGTGTATTAGTTTCAGGTACAGCGTCATGGGTAGAAAGCCATGCACCTTACAAAGCGGTCCCCCTGGTACTTCCAGTGCCCACCTGGCCCCATACATGGTTATTACCCCGTTCCCTGTGCTGTGCTACGTCTCCAGGACCGTTTGGTAACTGCCAGTTTGTACTTCTTCATCCCTGGATGTTTTTCACCCAGTCCCCCAACCCCCTTCCCTCTGGCAACCACCAGTCTGTTCTCTACATCTCTGAGTCTGCTTCTGTCTTGTTTGTTCGTCTATTTTGCTCTTTTGATTCCACATGTAAGTGAAATCATATGGTATGTGTCTTTCTCTGACCAATATATTTCACTTCGCATAATAGCCTCTAGGTTCATGCACCCTGTTGCACATGATAAGACTTTGTTCTTTTTTATGGCTGAGTAATATTCCATTGTCCACATGTACCACAGCTTTTTTAAAAAAAAAATCTACTTATCTATTGATGGGCACTTGAGTTGCTTCTAGAACCTACCTGTCTGCAGGGTCCACAGACCTTCTTGCTGCCACTGCCTGCAATCTTTCAATGATAACAAGAAGGTATTGGCGAGTCTCCTCCTTCCTTTAACTGAAAGGCTACAGGCAGTGAAAGGTAGATGCTCTGATATACCTTTTCCTAAGGTACAGCCTTCAGTCTTATCACATAATCAAGGTGCTATCCTGACCTCCGCCTGCCTGACTCCAGGACCTATCTTGTCGGCCCTCGAATATTCCCCACCCTTCCTTACAGCGTTTACTTCTTCCCTGTCTTGAAATCACAAAGCAACACCCCTGGCAGAGCAGGGCCCGTGACACACTCACCCAGGCGCGAGGTCTGCTTCCGTTTGATCTCCGTGAGCTTGGGGATGGGGTAGGGCCCGTAGCAGTGAGTGAAGATGACACACAGCTGCTGGCTGATCACTTCGTTCTGCGGAAAAGAGAGAACAGCTCACCTTGCTGGGGGCTGTGCACAACCTCAGGCCAGTTGTTGCTGGGAAACGCGTTCCCCAAGGAAGAGAAGCCCACAGACTTATCTCGGGCTCCAAGAGAAATCAATCCCCCTGGACATCAGTCATCCTGTTTGCCCGGGCAGGCCCTGGAGCTGCGAGCTTGTTTGTCTACTATTTCCATGGGCTCATTGGCAAAAGCTTAATTTGTCATTAAACCCTTTTCTCTTGCTGTAATCATTTCCTACCCATGGGAAAGCAGGTTTTGTAACTCCTAGAATGGAAAATAGGTTTTTACCCCAAACCTGCTTTTATCAATACTCCAAAGTTCTGGAAGCCGCTAATTATCCTAAAAAGCCCAGCAGAAAGCCCCCCTGGCCCTGTGACTGCGTCGCCGCTGCGGAGACTCAGGTGGCCCTGATGCAGCTTCCCTCGGAACTTGATTCTGGTGCTGAGGCCTTTCGGGATCAGGGGTGCTCAGCCGAATCATTTCTCAAAAAAAAAAGTGGGGGGAGGAGACTTCTGCAGTGCAGAATGTCAGCTGCCCCTGATTGCTCAGGGGCAAGGAGCCTGCATCCATGGAGCTGCCACCTCCGCGTTCTTCCTCTTCCCCCGCGGGGCTCGCCGCTGCTCACAAGTCTCCCTCCAACCGCAGGTGCGCAGGCGGGAAGCCACGAATCACAGTGTTGGGGTGCTTTTCATTGAATGAAGGGGTTGAAACTTGGGGCTTAAAGGGGCAGTTAGATAGAAAGACATTTACAACATATTTTAAAAGTAGGTTACAACACAGTTTGTAGCATGTATTTTTTGCAATAAAGCCCTACGTATATATTTAGATGGACAGATCTCTAAGGGGAAGGTTGGGAGAATAGCTACCTTCTGTGAGATTCTGATGTTTCTTTTTAGCTCCCTGTGCCCACCCTGCCCAGGGAGTTATATTTTCTGCAACAAACAACTGTTTGTAATAAAACCAACAAATATTATTTTTGACTTTAAAAGATGGGGCTGGGATAGCTTTGGGGTGTCAGTGGTTCAAGCCCTTCGTGAGTCGACTCCTTTGTGCGCCCGAAGCAGGAGGATACAGCTCAGCACATGAAAAGCAGTCCAACCCTTTGATTCAGTGGATGAGATCCCCAAAGGCACCTCGTCACTGCAGACGGATCCTGCGGGGACGCACTCATCTTGAGTGGGAGAAGGGACGCTGCTTTTGAAGAGGAGGCCTTAGAAACAAGGACATTAAATGCTCCTTCATGTAACACCTCCCTCCCAGCTTCAGGCGGCGGTTCTCCAAGTGTGGTCCCCACGCCACACCATCAGCGTCACCTGGGAGCCTGTTAGAAACATCCGCCCTCAGGTCCCGTCCCAGACCTTCTGCCTCAGAAATGCTGGGTGAGGGGCCCAGCAAGCTGTCTTTTCACACCTTAAAAAAAAATATTTTATTGACTTTTTACAGAGAGGATGAGAGAGGGATAGAGAGTTAGAAACATCGATCAGCTGCCTCCTGCACACCTCCTACTGGGGATGTGCCCGCAACCAAGGTACATGCCCTTGACCGGAATTGAACCTGGGACCCTTCAGTCCGCAGGCTGACGCTCTATCCACTGAGCCAAACTGGTTAGGGCCACACGTTTTCTTTTAAGTTTTTTTTTTTTAATCCTCACCTGAGGATGTTTTTTCATTGATTTTTTTTTTTTTGACAGAGTGAAAGGGAGGGAGGAGAGAGAGAGAAACATCAGTGTGAGAGAGACACATCGATAGGTTGCTCCCCCCAAGTGCTTGGCTGGGAATCTAACCTGAGACCCTTTGGTCCTCTGGCCGATGCTCTAACCTCTGAGCCAAACAGGCCAGGGCCATTTTCTGGTGATTCCGATGCTCCCTGAGGTGTGAGAACCACCGGTTTCATGGACTGGAATCTGTCGTGGGTTTGAAGTGGGCCGGGGCTGTAAATGGGTTTCCTCTGGCCTAAGGCTTTGCCACTCAAATGTGCTCCATCGACCACAAGCAGCAGCAGAATCGCCCGGGAGCCCACATAATGCAGACGCTCACCCGAGGCCAATGAATCAGGGTCCCCAGTCACGTGCTCTGCACATGGGTGTTTGAGGAGCAGAATCCTGGCCCCTAGCAGACGGCATGCCCTAATCCAGTGGTTCTCAACCTTCCTAAGGCCACGACCCTTTAATACAGTTCCTCATATTGTGGTGACCCCCAACCATAAAATTATTTTTGTTGCTACTTCATAACTGTAATTTTGCTACTGATACGGATCGTAATGTAAATATCTGATATGCAGGATGTATTTAGGCGACCCCTGTGAAAGGGTCGTTCGACCCCCAAAGGGGTTGCAACCCACAGGTTGAGAACCGCTGCCTGAATCCCTTGGGCTGTGTCATGAGCACGCCCACCCGTGAATGTGTTACCTTATAGGACGAAGGGGAATCTGCAGGAGTCATGAGAGTTACTGATTGGTTGACCCTAAAGAGGGAGATTACCCTGGGTTATCTGGGTGGGCCCAGTGTAATCACAGGAGCCCTTAAAAGGAGGTACCCTCCAGGCCTCTCTTGGAAAATGCTGGGTGTTGAACTTGGGTTCTCAGGATTCAGCTGCACAGAACTAAATTCTTTTAGCTTAAAATCCTCACTCGAGGATATGTGTGTGTGTGTTTTTAAAATTGATTTTAGGGAGAGAGAGAGAGAGAGAGAGAGAGAGAGAGAGAGAGAGAGAGAGAGAGAGAGAGAAACAGCCATTGGTTGCCTCCCATATGTGTCCTGACTAGGGATCGAACCTGCAGCCTTTTGCTGTGTGGGATGAGGAGCCACTGGCCAGGGCCAGAGCTGAATCTGTAACACCACAGGTGCCAGGAGTCTCTCTTAAGATGGAGCCTGTGGATGTCGGAGCTGACGTCTTTCCTCTCCTCCTCTGACCCCTCACTGTTCTTCTAAAAAGGTACAAAAACACACTCTTTTCTTTGGAAAGGAGCCCTAGGATTGTCCCCAGGGTCTGCTATAGGTAGCTTAGGTGGGGGTTCTACACAGTGGTAAAAACATGGGCAACGGGACCAGACGGAGCTGGGTGACCTTAGGAAAAGTACTCAGCTTCTCTGGGCCTCAGTGTTCTCTTCCCAAATGAATTACCTGCTTAAGGAAGGATTAAATTACCTCTATGAGGATTAAAAATATAACACATCACAATATGCCATTAGGTTGAACCAAAGGGAAGTGCCAATATGTGACCATTTTTGAACTCTCAAAAGAGCAAATTCCCATAATTCAAATTAATCTCTATTTTCCTAGATTCTAAAATATCCTAAAATTACTGGAAAGAAACTCACTGCAATAAACATGCATCTTAAAGACCCATGTCAAATTCAAAAAGATGAAAAAAGCCTGATCTCAGAATCAAGAGAATGTTGAATGTTGCTTTCCAGGGTCATCGGCAGTGAATTCTTTGTCTTGATCGATTCCTCCCAAGACAGGCCCTGCCCCTGTGGAAAATGCTGGGCTGCCCTGTCAGCTGTGAGCCCCTCTCTGCTGGAACCACCTGGAAAAGGGGGGGTGGGAAGGCTGTACGGCCCCACAGGATTCCCATGAGGTCGGCTTAGCTCCAAGTCTGTCACACGCCCTTGGAGTTGTGTACAAGATGAAATTGAACATACTGTGAACTTAAAGTGCTTTTAAATCAGCACCCATTTATTTTTATATGTACCTTCTACTCATGGCAACTGATGAGAGCTTTCTATTTATGGTAGTAATATACTGTTTCCTTTCTAAATACATTTAAGGGAAGGTAAGATGATTTAAAAGAAACATCCTGTTAATAAAAGCCTATGTGGTCATGATGCCCTCACGCCGAAACGAGCAATCACCAGGAGGCTGCATGGGCTGTGTGCATGCATGGGTAGGCGGGACTGTGTGCATGCATGGGTCAGAGGTGGGTCCCGCGGCTCCACACAGCGAGGAGGCGGGACCCTAGGCTCTGGCCTACCTCTTTGGGGCAATCCATGGAGGAGCCCCAGGTGGGTGGGCGGGGCCTACCTCTTTGGGGCGATAGATAGCGGGGCTCCTGCACTGTGAGAGGGCACAGGCCAGGCTGGCCCCCGCCCCAACCCCCCAGTGCACAAATTTCATGCACCGGGCCTCTAGTATGAAATAAACAACAACCAGTGACAATATCCTTTAGGAACGAAAGGGAAATCAGACACTCTGGAATGAAGGACCTAAGAGAACTGGTCACCAGCACGACCCTAGAAGAATGGCTGAAGGAAGGTCTCTAAACGACAGGAAAGGATGAAGGAGGGAGCCTTGGAGCATCCGGAAGGAGGAACAGGGTAAGCAAACATATGGACACATGTAATAGGCGTTCTTCTTTCTCTTGAGTTTCCTAATTATGTTTGATGGTTGATGCAAAAATTGTAACTCTGTCTGATATGGTTCTAAATTAGATGACATATTTAAAGATGGATATGTCATAAATGGAGGAGGGCAAAGGGACATAAAGAGAAGTAAGGTTTCTATACTTCATTTGAACTGGTAAACTGATGAAACCAGTAGACTTTGATATTATGTACATGCCAGAGGCCCGGTGCATGAATTCATGCACGGGTGGGGTCCCTCGGCCTGGCCAGTGATTGGGGCTGATCGGGGCCATCTCGCCCAGTCCCAATGGGGGCCAATTGGGGCTGACCAGCCGGGGGTGGGGAGGAAGGGATTGTAGGAGGTTGGCCTGCAGCAGGAGGTTGGCTATGGGAGCACACTGACCACCAGGGGGCAGCTCCTGCATCGAGTGTCTGCCCCCTGGTGGTCAGTGTGCATCATAGTGACCGGTCAACTGGCCGTTTGGTCACTTAGGCTTTTATATATACAGATAATGCAATATATCAAGCAATCACTAAAAAAGCTATACAGTGAGATACACTCCAAAAACATTACAAATAAAAAATGAATTTAAATAAATGTTCAGGTAGTCCACAGGAAGGCAGGAAAAAGACAGAGAGATCACACAGAAGACAAAAAATAAGATGGTAGATTTAAGCCATAGAGCATCAATAATTATATAAAATATATATGGTCTATAAATTCTGATTAAAAGACAGAGATTGACAGAGTGGATGAAAAGTCCGACTGCATGTTGTTTATAAGAAACCTTAAATGTAACGTATAGGCAAGTTGAAAATAAAAGGATGGGGAAAATATCATACAAACATTAATCAGAGGAAAGCAGGGGCAGCTGTATTAATATTAGATCAAGGAGACTTCAGAGCAAAGAAAACTAGTCGAAGCAGAGAGGGGCATTACATAATGACAAAAGGGTTAATACTCCAAGAAGACACTGCAATCCTAAATGTGTCTGCACCAAATGACACAGTTGCAAAATATGTGAGCTAAAAACGGATAGAACTAAAAGGGGAAGTAGACAAATTCAACAATTACAGTCGGAGACTTTAACACCCCTCTGTCAACTGATAGGATAACTGGATAGGATATTCTATAGGACACAGAATATAGGATACAGAATATAGGATGTAGGATACAGAAGAGCTCAGCATAGTCATAAGCCAAGAGGATGTTACTAACAATTACAGAACACCCCACAACAGCAGAAAGCACCCCTTTCCATGTGCCCACAGAACCTATACTGAGATAGGCCATATTCTGGGCCATATAACAAATCACAAATCTTTAAAAAAGGAGTGAAATAATATAGAATGTGTTCTCTGACCACAATGGAATCAAACTAGAAATCAGTAACAGAAAAATCCCAAAACACTTAAAAACTAAATAACACACTTTCAAATAATCCATAAGCCAAAAAAAGAAAGTTTCAAGGGAAATAAAAAATACACTGAACCGAATGAAGGTGAAAATAAAACATATCAAAAATTGTGGGACACAGCTAGGGTAGAGCAGAAAAATGTATAGTATCAAGTGCATATAGAAGAAAAAAGGAACAGTTCCAAATCGATAGTCTCACCTTCTACCTCAAGAACCTGGGAAGAGAAAAGCAAAACAAGCCTACAAGATCTGACCGCAGGATGATCACCCATGCTTGGAGAATGCCTGACTTCACACAGCCACGGCAAGTTTATCTTTCCCCTCTGCCCTGCATAGTGATGTGTAATACCACATCTCACCAGTAGGGGATGCCATTGAACCCCCATTTACTGTAAGAGCAAACCTGACTGGGGTGCAGTCCTCCAGTCCTCCTAAAGACTGCCCCTGCCCCATCCCTGGGTCCCCCCACCCTCCATGATCAGTACAACTGCTGGGAGCAGGATTTGGTCCCCACATCCTGGCAAAGTTCCCTCCCTTCTTCCCACCCCCAGCTGCTGCTGTCAGAGCTGTTGGCTGCTCTGGGAGGGTAGGGGCTGGGCTGGGCAGGAGGGGGCTGGCGGGGTGCTAGCAATGCTCTGTTTTTGGTCCGGCTGCTCATCACACAGGTAGGTTTACTTTGTGGAAATTCCTTTGCCTCTAGAGTTACGATTGGGGCACTTTCCCGTATGCATATATGTATGTCCTATTAAAAACGATGTTTACTTAGAAACCCCAGAGACCAGGTTTACTTAAAACACAAGATGCTGCGGTAGGTAATCTCTGGAATGCCCACTATATCCCGAAGAGAGGAAGGAAATTAAAAACCCGACACCCATTAGAACACCAGACCCTGGGAACCGAAGGAGGAACGTTTGTCCCGAAGGTGGTCTCTTAGGTAATTTCAGGTGAAAGCCTTTTTTATTTATTTCCAAGGTGGGGGGTGAGGGGCAGGGAGCATTTGGTTTTGAAAAGCCTCCAGCAGGTTTCACTCTAAATAGAACTGCGAGGCTCATTACCGGAGCCCGCACACCTGCTCCCACTTCAGGTCTCAGTGGGGCCTGACATCAAGCATAAATCTAGCCCGCGGGGGCCCTGGACGCTGGGCTGCAGACCGTGCTAATGAGAAGACCTAATGGGCCTGGCTCGGGCCCGGGCCACGTGCTCCAGGCTCAGCGAGCAGGCAGGACGCCGAGTTGCTGCTGCTTTACTGTGGGGCCACCCCACTGCCGGCAGAGGCACTCCCTGGTCCCCTCGTCCTTCTCTCGGGCAGCCCATGGGCCCAGCCTGGCGGGGGGTGGAGACCCAGGTTGCCTTCCTGGTTCAGAGGCCTGTTTCCCCTGCGACTCACAGGGGCCCCAGAACTTCACAAAGCCTGATCTGGGACTGAGGGGGAAGGGGCTGGTGCCGGGGCCAGACTGCCTGGGTTCAGTCCCAGCTCTGCTATTTAGCGACTCTGTGATCTCGGGCACGCTGGTCAACCTCTCCGTGCCTCAGTTTCCCCATTTGTTAAATGGGGGATAAGAGCAGTATCTGCTTCAAAAGTTGCCTGTGAGAATTTAACTACATATTTTTTTTTAAAAATATATTTTATTGATTTTTTACAGAGAGGAAGGGAGAGAGATAGAGAGTTAGAAACATCGATGAGAGAGAAACATCGATCAGCTGCCTCCTGCACATCTCCTACTGGGGATGTGCCCGCAACCCAGGTACATGCCCTTGACCGGAATCGAACCCGGACCTTTCAGTCCACAGGCCGAGGCTCTATCCACTGAGCCAAACTGGTTTCGGCTTAACTACATATTTTAGCTTAAAAAAAAAAAAAAAGTCTCTTTCTGTCTCGAGACAGTCATATAAAAAAGCGTTCCGAGTCAAGTGAGTTGGAACGCTTGCTTGCCTTCCCAGGGCCTGGCTTCCGGGAACCGCGGCAGGGCCTGTACCCATTCATCTGGGGTGCTGCACCCTGTCCCTCCTCCCGCTGGATTCTATCTGCCTGTCAGGCCTGCCCTAGTCCCAGCACCTCAGCACACCTTTCCCTGACCGTCTGGCACCTCACTCTCGGGGCCTGTGCCATTGTTTCATAAACCACCTCAGATGCCCTCGGGGCACACATGCTGGTATTCTCTCACCAGCTTTTGTGTAAATTCCTTGAGGCCAGGACAGATCTTACTACTTCGTCCATGTGCCTAAGTGCCTTGGAACCTCACAGCGGCTCAGCAAAGCAGCTGCCCCACAAATGACAGCACAAGTGGCTTTAGCCAGTTGGGGTACACAAGCCACCAGCCACCATGACCACAGGGAAGGGACCCCTGAGATGGGGACCCTCCTAGCGCTCTGCCGACGGCATCAGACCCCTCGTACCTTGCTGGCTTTCAGGATCTCGAACATGAGGGGCAGGCCCTGGGTGATGAGCTCCTCCGTGTACTCTTCCTCCTGGATGGTCTTGAACTCCTTCAACAGGCCCTGGATGAGGGGCCTGCGGTGCTGCTGGAAGGCGATCCGCAAGGACTCCAGCCACGTGTGCAGGGTCCACGGGACACCTGGGGGGAGGGGAGAGGGGAGGGCAAGGCAGAGAACAACCAAAAGAGAAGGCGCGTTTTTATCTAAAACTTGGCCTTTCCCCAGGACGTTACCCAATTATGAGACCAAGAGACAGGCTTGCGATGAATAGAGCCAGTGTTGATCCCGCCCCCAAAGACTTGCAGAAGTTGAAATTAAAGGTCATAATTCAATTCCCTTAAGTACGGGTGTCCATTTCTTCATGCTACTCATATTATCAGGGGCTGCATTTACAACCTATAATCATGGTGGAGAATACTGGAATCTTTATGCCTGTGACATACTTCTCTGTGCTGACTTCATTTGTCTCCATCCCCTCCACTTTCTGGGGAGGGAGATGCTCGGGGAGGGGCCGAGTCTTGCCCAGGATTGGATACCACATCCGTGCCCAGGCGAGAGCTGAGAGCTGGTGAAACCCACCAGTGAGCTAAGATGGATACTTCCACCCGCATAAGGAGACTCGGAGGGTATGGCTGCTGGTCCCCGCGCAAAACTACATTTCCACCTGCAGCCACTTCATCGGGCTCCTCCCGCAGCAAGAGCCTCTCCAGCAGCTGATTGCTGTGCTGATTCCCCCTCTTCTCGTGGGGAGAGAAGCAGGCGTCTTGCTCCTGTGTACAACAAGGGACCTTTCGGAGTCTCGGGCTGCTTCACTATGCTAAACAGGCCCTCGGGGCCGGGGCATAGCCGCCCCACATGCTAAACAGCCACTGTGCGAGAGGCCCTTTTCCAGAACAGCATAGGGGCCCCTCTGCAGGCCCTCAGGCTACAACCTGAGTTTAAGGCCCACGCCAGTCCTGCTATTCCCATGCTGGGCCTATGCCACTAGATTGGGAAGGCCAGGCTAGCCTGTCCCTCAGGTGCACGGAGGAGGTGGCTGTGGGCTAGCTCAGTCCAGGAAGAGCCACCCCAAAGGCTTCCTGAGGGGGAGCCCTGGTCAGGAAGCCTGTCCTCACTCTAACCGCTGCCCGGCCGCAGCTTCATGGGTCTGGGTGCTCTATGCACCCCAACCACTGGGAACCACCTGGGATGCTTGTTAAATATAAAGATTTCCAGCCTTTACCCATCCAGACCCTAGACAGCAGAGCTTCTGGGTATAGGGCCTGGCAATGTGTATTCAGACAAGCTCCCAGGTGATTCGAACTCCTAACTTCCAGGGTCCAGAGTTTGGGAATCATGGAAAGGTGACCTGAGGACGGGGCTGGCAGGATGCTGCTGTCGATGGGGACAGTGTGGGACTCTCAGCATGGAAGTGCTCCCACCAGCGAAGGAGAGGCCCCCTGGGCCTGTGTGTGTGTGTGTGCGTGTGTGTGTGTGTGTGTGTGTGTGTGTGTGTGTGTGTGAGTGAGCCGGGCAGCGGTGCTGTGCCCAGGGCGGAGGGTGCCCACACTGACCGATGCTCCTGATGTCAATTGTGACATCCACGTAGCCATGCTCAGCGCTGTGATACATGGCCTCCCTCAGGGCTCTCAGTTTGGCCTTGCTGTTGCGGCTGGCGCACAGGGGGGGCGGGGCTGTCTCCGCCAGGTCTGTCCCCTCGGCCAGAATCTCCTCCAGGGACAGGATATCACTCTTCTCCTTCTCTGGCTGGGCGAGCAGTTTGCGGAACACGTTCCTGTCAATCATAAACCCAGAGAGGAAGACACTCAGAGGTGGGGGAGGGCTTTGCCAGGGCGGGGACGGGTGGGGACCACTCCCTGGGACAAGGGAAGGGGACGGGACCAGCTCGGGGTGGCGGGTTTCAGAGTCCTGACCGCGGGCGCTCCGTTCTGGGGGTGGAGGAGATAGTGGGGCATGGCCGGCCGTGTTTCCTCAAGGACAACCAGGGAGCTAAGTGTTTGCCTCAAGTATCTAGAAGGCTCTGGAACCCGTGATTCTGCTTTACGTGGGGTGATGTGTAATGCAACCGATGGGATAAATCCTGAGGGAATGGTGGACGGGAGGCGATCAAACAGGAGGTGATTTATTCTTTCTCAACGGATTCTTCTCACTTCGCTTCCCAGAGGGGAGGCATGTCTGCGGTGGAAGCTGGCTGGGAGAGGACAGAACAGCCAGTCCGGGCAGATGTGTGCGGCATGAGGCTGGCCCTCGGCCGGGAGCGGGCAGTGAAGGCCACGCTGGCCGGGCTGGGGCCTGCACTGCCTCTGGGCCCCACATCCAGAGAGGCGGTGGGTCTGGGGCAGGCCTGGGAATCTGCATTTTTAACAAGCACCGCTCGGGGCCTGGGGTTCCGGCCCGCCCTAGCCTACCTGTGTCCGTGGGCTGCGGCCTGGCTGAAAGAGTTCATGTCCCCCTGGGGGGTTGTAGAAATTCCATTCCTGTGCATGGTTCCTATCAAGGGGTCCGCACCTCGCTCCAACAGCAAACTAACCAGCTCAAAATTGCCTGCAAGCCCAGAGAAGGGGTTTTATAAGCGAATAAAGCAAACAGAGAGTCGCAGGCACCCCCGGGGCGGGGTGGTGGAGGCCCTTGGCCAGGGCGAGGATGGCACCTCTTACCCACGGCGGCTGCGAGCTGCAGGGGCGTCTCCGAGTAGTTCTCCTCGCCGTGCTCCACAGAGCCCTCGACCTTGGCCCCGGCGTCCAGCAGGAGCTGCGGAGGAAGAGGGGCCATGGAGATGTTTAAAGGACCCGCGCTGCGAGGGGGCGTCAGGAAAACTGGTGGAAATCAGTGCCATGCCAATGTTCCTGCTCTCCTCTGGGTCAGTGACCACGGGTCCAGGGCAGCTGGACCTCGAGGGGGAACTAGGAGCTGCTTGGATCTACTAGAACCTGAGCTACTCAGTGGGGGGTATAGGCCAGCAGTGGGGGCACCTGGGAGCTGGTGGGAAACATGGCCCTCGGGCCCGCCCCAGACCCACTGGACAAGCGTCTGCATTTTTAACAGGCTCTCCAGGTGACTGACTCGTATATGAATGTTTCTAGAAGCCCCTGGAACCAGGGACTGGAAGATTCCCTGTTTGGGTCGGAGAGCATTAACGTGGTCTCTTGGAATCACAGATTGAGAGTTCTGGAGAGCACCCCGGCCAACCAGGGCCAGGGTCCTGGGGAGCTCCGAGGGCAGGTCAGCAGAGGCTGTGTCCTGGCCAGCAGGCTCCATGCGGCAGCGTGAGCTTCCCAGAGCTCTGCCTCACAGGACGCAATTCTGTGCCTTCCCTAAGCAATTCTGTGCTTCTTAAAAAACGGAGATCCTATCCATGCCGGATCTCACTCACAGTGGATGTGCTGGTTGCTGATGTGAACTGGGCTGGGGTGGGGGGGACCTGCTAGTTTTAACCCTGAGGGCGCAGCCAGGAGGGGGGCTGCACGTGTGGCTTTCCGTGACTTGTGCACCTGCAGCGGGGAGGAGGCCTGACTTCGGTTTGGCTTTGCTCGGCTGCCCACTGCGCCGACTCCGGATTGAAAGGCCGGGGATGCCGCTGCTTGTTAAAGGATGGCATCTGCGTCTGCCGGGCCACCCTCCGCCCCTTCTTCCTTAGACTCCTCTACGGGGACTGGACTGTGCATGACGCTGTACAGGCAGAAGCCAGTGTGGCACGTCACACACGCAGCCTCCTGAAGCACGGCTTTGGACCTGTCTTCGGGACCCCCACACCCTAGGAAACGACAAAGGATTCCAGTGGAATCCCAACGTTGCCCAGTGGTGCCTCTCCCACGATTCCCTGCTCTCCATTCATCCTCAGAGGCTTGGACCACATAAAAGGAGGCGAGTTCCTGAGGGACCGGCTGCTCGTCTCCCTTTTCTGATGCCGTGAAGACCACGTTTAAGACCTAGAATGTACTGGATGGCTAGTCAATGAACACCAACTCTACAACAGCCAGAAAAGGCGCAAGCAACACATGCCCATAGGACCTCGGATGAGGACATCTCTCCGTGCTTGGGAGCTTTCAGAAGACACATGCGAAGGCCCTGCTCTAGGTCTCCTGGATCCAATTCTCAAGAAGTGGGATCCAAGCAAGTGTCTTTTGGAACCGTTGCCTTGGCAACTTGGATGCGTCTTTCCACTGGCTGGAAACCACTAGACTCTACACAAACACCAGGGTCACACCTCAGGGGAGGTTCCAAGGTCTCACACCAGCCAAGTTTTGTGTTCATGTTACGACAAGTAAAACGAACCAATCCACAAAACCACAGCTCAGGCCCCAGCCGCGAGCGACTGGGAACAACTTCGTAGGTTGGCCACTGTGTGTTGTGCGAGGCTGCATGTGGGTAGGTGATAATTTCATATTGGCTAAAGCTGGGCCATATAGATCATTCCATATAATATTTCCACTCATATGATATGCATGTGCTATATTCAATTGCAATGAACCAATATGAATGTTTTCGTGACTATGCATGCCGGGAGAGGTACAGATTTGCATAATGGAAGCGGTAAAATTAGAGGTCAGGTGTGGATAGGGAAATACGTTAATACCTGAACTACAGGAATATGTCCATGCAACACAGCAAAAGTCAGAGCCGTCCAATGGCGGGTCTCGGGGTGGACGGATGGATATTTATGAGGAGTACTGACAACCTATAAACAAATTGAAGTTATTTTCAGAATGTGACCTTCACAATACTTAGACTAGCAGAGCTGACCTATCTGTGGCTGGGCACGCGGGAAAGGCGTAGAAAGGACATCCTGGGCGGTGCCTGGGGAAGTGTTGGTGATGTGGGTGGTGAGGAATAAGGACTCCTTTGCTTCACATCTGAAAGCGATTAAACGGATGACCTCTGACCACCGCTAAGGTGCCTTGGAGAAGGTGTAATGGTGGCTACAATGAGCCAGCTCACCTGCCTGGCTCCTCTCTCGGCTGCAGGAAAGGTGGTGGTTCTGAGACCTACAGGATGTCAGTGTGAGATGCCACTGCCATTTCACCCACGCCTTGAGGGGACATTCTCGGTGGCAGCAAACCCCAGGCAAGGGGAGGTCTGCTTCAAGCTTTTGAGCCAGGGAAGCCCACCATGTGATGGAGGAGTGGCACCATCTGGTCACAGCTCACCCACGCTGACCTCACTCCACTCTTCTGCTGCCTTCCTGGTTGACAAAGGCCCTCATATTTCTGGAAACTGGGCATAAAAACTTTCCTGAAAGCACCACAAATAAGCAATCTGATACTGGTCTTTTGATATGGGAATCTCAAAAACACCCCTGGCCACAAGACAGGTGTCTGGGCAGCTGAAGGTTGGGGTCCTGCAGGACTGGCACCCACACATGGTTTTCCCGAATATTCCTGGATGCCTGTTTCATTCAGAGGTGCTGAGTTCACTCATCACCTGCAGGGGAAGCCTGGAGCTGGGAGCCATGGGTTGGGCTAGGGAGGACCAGGGAACCCCACCAGGAACCCAAGTTGGGGAGCCCCTCGCAGTGTCTGCACGGTGCTTATGGATGCATAACAGGGGAGAAAAAATCCCTAATACTTGAAACTTGTATGATCCAAAATGGGATCCCAAACTATGTCTATTGACTGCTTTCCTCAGATGAATATAAAACTCACTAAAACCCCCCCAAAAGCAAATAGAAAAGCCCCCCAAAACCCACAGTACTAAATGACAAGAGCATCTAATTTTGACCTAAAAAGGCTCCCCAGGGTTGCTGAGTTAGGACTGTGGCATACCAATTTCCCCAGTTTCCAAGGCTGCCAATATCTGGCTGCTGGAGAGAGTGGGTCTTAAGACAGCACAGAACATGGTTAAAAAAAAAAAAAAAAGAAGAAGTGTGATTTCACCTATTACAACCCCCGGCAGGAAAGGAAATCAATACTGAGTCCCAAACTTTATGCTAGGTCCTCTCTGTATTTAATTCTTCCAACAACTCTGAGGTGGGTGTGATTATTCTCCCATTTTGCAGATGGGGACAGCGAGGCCCAGAAACCACCTGCCCAAGCACAAAAGCACGTCACCAAAGCACAGGACAGTTTCAGAATTTGAACCCGTGTCAAATTCCAAAGCCTGCTGGGGTGTGCTTCCTGCTCCAGCATATTGCTTCAAAGAGCCATGTGATGAGCTTTAAGACCTGTGGCTGCAACTCAGCCAACCAGGTGCGCCAATCAGGATTCGGTGGGGGAGGGGGAGCCACGCCTCAGCTCTGGGACAGGGCCCAGCTTTGCAGTGCGCAGAGGGAAAGGGCTGGTGGCTCAGGAGAGGGCGCTCTGCTTTGATCCCAGAAGGAACGGATGACAATAAGGATCAGAGGCGATACACCTGAGCCAAGTAAAAGCTGGTGCGCCTTGTAGCTTCGTTTGTTGTTTTTAAGTGAAACATACATGCTCCTTGGAGTTTCCCGGGGCTGGGGCCTTAGGGTGGAGGAAATCCATCCGCTGGTCTGACCTCTTTGCTGGACGGAGCGCCCTGCCCTCAGCAGTGGCTCTCGGGAGAGAAAGCCCCCCCCCTCTCTTGGTTCACCTTCCCCCGGGGATGCCAGGCCGAGGGGCCCTGCAGCCCCCTGCACCCTCACCTCCACATTCAGGTCAGCTCCGGCATCCAGCAGCATCTGCACCATCGCCTCGTCCCCACGGACGCAGGCGTACATCAGGGGGGTCATGCCCTGCGGTGAGTTAGAAACCAGAGAACGGAGAAGGTTTACCAGCTGGCTGTGTCACTTGCTGCTAACATGGAAATTCTTACTTTTGCTTAGAAGGCTATCTTTGCACTCAAAATCCGGCATTAAAAAGAATAAACAGCCCTAAGACTCCTAAGGTTCCAATCCTCCATAGTTTGAAAACCAAAATGGAGGCAAGAAGGGACCATAAATTGTCTTTTTTTTTTCTTTTTTCTTTTCTGCATTAATCGTTGCTTATGTTGGAGGATTTTCCTTTGTCTGTCTTAGGGTGCAACAGACCTGGGAGTGTTTGCTGAAGCAAATGGCTGATTTCAACTTTCTGGGTTCTGCAGCATCAGCCGCTAAGCTATCTAATTGACAAACACGGTTTCCTTGACATTTTCTCTTTCTCAATATAACAAGTGTCATCTTTACTCTATACAAGATCCCGGTCGGGGTCAAGGGAAATTGGATATCTCTGAGCACACCCCCAGCGTTGACATCTGGTTTGACATTACCATTTACAAGCGAACAGCAAGCAAATGAGGAATGGCTTTCAAAAATTCCTGAAGTATTTGCCCATGACTCCTGCTTAGTATAAACAACATATCCCAACCAACAGAAGGAAGGGATGGATATTTCAATAAACAGTGTTGTGAAGGTGGGAAAATATCTGAGTAAGAAGAGCCTTATCTCACACCATCCACTAAAACCGTTTCTAGTTTGATTAGCGATATCGGGACAAAATTAAAACCATAAAAGTCATCTAGGCACGCCGAAGCCGGTTTGGCTCGGTGGATGGAGCGTCGGCCTGCGGACTGAAGGGTCCCAGGTTCGATTCCGGTCAAGGGCATGTGCCTGGGTTGCGGGCACATCCCCAGTGGGGGGTGTGCAGGAGGCAGCTGATCGATGTTTCTCTCTCATCGATGTTTCTAACTCTCTATCTCTCTCCCTTCCTCTCTGTGGAAAATCAATAAAATATATTAAAAAAAAAAGTCATCTAGGCACAAAAATAATAAAAGAATCGCAAAGGAAAATCATTACAGCACCGAGGACATGAAATTGAAAAGATAAACAAAACGAAAAGGTAAGCAGTACATGGAGACATATCTGTCACATTATAATAAAGGTCATATGTCTAATATGTAAAGAGTTCTTCCAAGTAAAAAAGAAAGACAGTAAAGCTCCAGTGAAAACCAGGCAAAAGGTAAGTGAAAGATTCACAGGAAACACATATACAGTGGGGTCTTGACTTACGAGTGTCCCGACTAACGAGTTTTTTGAGATACCAGCTGTCTCTCGGCAGATTTTTTGCATTGAGTTGATAGAGTAATTTGAGTTAACGAGCCCCTTAACGAGCTCCTTAACAAGCTCGGTCTCCAAACGAATTAAACTCCTAAGTCAAGGCCCCACTGTATGTAGTTGGAGGGTGTGTACAAGGAAACAAGTCTCTGGAATCGTAATTTGAGATAAAAAAAAACCTTCAGAAAGGTTGATGAGTTTGAGCCACTATTTCCACTCTTAAGAGTTTCCCTAATGAGACAATCAGGGATTTGAACAACGATTTGTCTAAGTTTATTTAGCTCAGCGTTATTGATATAAGTGATTAGAAACAACCTAAATACCCAACAACTGAGTGTGGTTAAGTGAATAAATAATATGACCATGTTATGTAGCCATTAAAAGGGACTAAAACTATTTAATGATATTGCAAAGTACCTTTCAATGTACCTTAGTGTCAGAGGCCTGGGGGGACAGCTGCCTGTCTCAGAGGCTCCCCCAGAATGACTTTTGTGCATCTTAAACGTACCCCGAAAGTTTGGTGAAAATTTGTCTTGACTTGTTCTGTGAGGCAGTAACAGGCCGTTGAGCACTAATTTTAACCATGCTGGAAAAAGAACTTGAAGGACACATACTAAATATAAACAGGATGGTTATCCGGGTGAGGGAATGATTTCCTTTCTGGAATAGGCCTATTTTTCTCTCTTTTCCATTTCAGCTGCAATGGTCACGTGCAACTTCTATAATGATGAACAAGGGTATTTTTATGTTAAAAACTAAACTAAAAAAAAAAAAATCACCCCAAGTCACCCGTAGGGGGAGCCTCTGTCCAGTGCCTGCCGTGTCCATCTTGCCATGGGGTGGTGCTCGTGGTGAAGGTGGGGGTGCGCGTTCAGACACCCAGAGGACCCTGTACCTGTTCGCTCATGGTGTTGATCCCATCGGGCCCCAGGAGCGACACCGCCTGCTTCACCAGATCCGTCCGCCCGCAGTTCAGCATCCGGAAACCCAGGTCCTGCTTAAACTTGGCTTCGATGGCCACTGCGTCCAGCTTCCGAGAAGCAAAAAAGCAGTCGTCAGCCCTAAGGGAGGGAGAGATGGTCAGCTGGTGCGCGCTCCCAGGGACGGGCCTGGAGCCACAAGGTAGGCAGCACAGGGACGTGCGTTGCTTTCATGTCCACTGCC